CAACAATGGTAACACGGTAATAGTGTCAGATTAAAACAGTATATCCCAAACTGATTGTCACAAAATCCCCAGCCCATACGATGCACCTCAGAATAAGTATTCGTACTTAAATAATTTTAAGAAACGCTATATACTCTAACCCTGTATGTCATGGTCGTGATGCCCATTAGCATGTGACAGCCCTAAGAAGTCCTGCAGTGAGGGAACATGTTTAGCTCAGCACACTTTATTAAATGTTGGCTAAAGGCTTCGTGAGGAACTCGCTCACAGAGCATCCGTCACCCAAGGTTTTTTAAACTGGTTAACATTTGAGCAGGTGAATGAGGTGGTGAAGACCCCAGGCTCGAGGACTTGGGCCGGGCAGCTGAATGTCTGTTAAGTGGAGAATGTGGTTGGGGACTAGGGACACATTTGGCCCTGCCAGTCTTGCTCCCCTACACCCAGGCCGTTGGAGAAGAGGGGTGTTGTCTCACTTTCCTGAGCTTTCACGACCCAAAACTGAGTCATCCCCCTTTATCTTCCCTTTGTTACATTGGCAAGCATTCAGACAGTTTTAGCTGTAGCTATGATACAATGCTGCAATGACAAAACACTGCCTATTCTCCTTGGAACAAGAGGTCGTGAGGAATCCGATCATTTTTCCTGGAGAAGTCATCTTACATTTCAAACTAAAGACTCTCCAACCTCTTCAGTGGCTACAGCACACAAAAACCGCAGACGCAAAGGCTGAGAAGCTGCAGGAGAGAGCTACCTGGCTCCCCCTTCCCCCACCCCGTGAAAGGAGGGAGGCAGTCTGTAGAGACCCTGCCTGAAGGCGCTGGGAGAGAGGGTTAACCGGTCTACAGTGAAAAAGTGAAGCTGGGCTTCCGCTCTTCACCTCCCCCCTCCCTGCTTCAGTCCCTCCAGCCACACAGCCCTCATGCTGATTTCTTAAATGCCCCAGTGGCCTGAGCACATGCCACTCTTTCAGTCTGCATCACCTTCCTTCCACTCGGCAGAGTGGCCTCTGAGCATCCTGTGGTCAGCTCAGCCATCCCCCGCAAAGCATCGCCACCCTGACCACCGCCACTGCTTCCTTCTTCCTTCCTCCTCCCACGGAGTTTGTTCCAGTTTGGAGTTATTATATTTATTTCTCTATGCCTTTGTCCTTGCAGACCACACTCTCATGATGACCAGACCCATAGCTATTGTACCTCATCTCATCTGTTACCTGTCCCTGGCACAGTGCTTGGCCCATAATAGGTGCTCAATAAGGACTTGCTGAATTAGCAACTCCCCAAAGTGGTATTTCCAGGCATAAGGGGAGGGCAATGTTTTTGAGATGGTGCTACCCATCACCTCGCAAAAATCTACCTGCACATGATGCCATCTCTCCACTCAAAGTCACGTGTGGGGCCAGATGAAGTTGTTGGAATGATAACCTATCTTTTCTCGTTCCTTCCTTCTGATCAACCACGGAGCTGGCAGATCTGAACATTTATTGGAGAAAGAATTTCACTTTTATCCAGGAAAAGAAAATGCCCCTTGTCAAGACCTAAGATGAGAGGCTGGAGCAGAACACTCAACACGGAGGTTCCTTCTGAAATGCCCCTGCACATGCACGCGGATTTGCGGCGAAACTGTCCAGAATCCTCTGTAATTACCCCAGAAAGAGAAAGCACACACCAAGTCATGGCCTTGGGGTCTGAGGCTGCAGATATTTCAGTCCTGGTGGTTTCGATGCTGAAGCCACTCCACACGCCCCGTCCCACCAGCTGCCCACCGACTAAGCTGATGCTCGGAGAATGCCGCTCTGTGATTAGACCCCTCCAGCAGGACCTGGCTGGAGCATTTCAGAATTCTCTCTTGTGGCTTCAAAGCCTTGGGGCTCCCCCCACCTCTTCCTTAATTAGATAATGACAGGGAGGCAGTTACGCAATTTCACCAGCAAAATCCTTTTCTGCTTGTGGCTTTGCTCTCACTTCTTTGAGAATCCATTTTTAGCTTCCAAAAGTGGGTGCAGGCACTAAGCACAAAAGTCTTCAAAGCCGTTTCCAGTTCCCTGAACCCTAGTGAAATCCCACCCCAGGAAAAGGCTACTTGTGCCCACCCAGACAAGGGAAGGCTGAATGAGCAGCTGGAGACCATGATGTTTTTTCCAGCTTTCTCTCTTCTTCCTCCATTAGCCCCACATCCTGTGCATCAGCTACTCTGCAAGCCCTATTGTTCCCTGGATGCATGATCCCCAATCTCAGCTCTGAGACTTCGCATATACTGCCTCCATTCCCAGAAGGCAGCTTCCTCCTTTACCGAACTCAAGGACTCCTACGCATCCATCAAAACCCAGCCTCAATATCTCCCCTTTCAAGGACCCTTCCCTGACGGCCCGAGCAGATTTGGATGGCTTTCTCTGTGCTTCGATAGCCCGGCATGCACAGCCCAAATCGTCCTCCAGCCCAGCAGTGTCACAAGACTGTCTTTGTACAGTTCCTGTACCAGCCCACATCTTAGGGCTTCCGGGGGTACCTGGTACGTAATGGGCACCACTACTTCCTGTTTCACTCCTGACCCAGCACTGCACTTTGAGTCCCAAGTCCTTAGTGTAAGTCTTGGATTTGGCGCTAATTACCCATGTGACTTCAGGCAAATCATTTGCTTCTTGGGCCCCCAAATTTTGTGCCAAAAAAATGAGGGACAATACCCCGCCTCACAGGATCACAGTGAGGGTAGAGAGAAATGATGATCATGGGAGCAGGATGAAGCAGCACCCTCGTCTCTTCAGTCATTGATCAAATAAAGGGATTGTTATTACTGCTCTCTCTCCCTTTCTTCCTCCTCTCCTCTCCTCTCCTCCGGCCCTTTCTGCTTCCTGAAGCATACAAATGGGGTCTGTGAGGAACTCCCCACGGCCCACCAAGAAAAACACCAGCACGAAACCCCAACACCACCCGGCGCCGAGCGGCGAGCTCTCCCTCCGGGTGAAGCTCTGCTGGAATGAGCAGCCCAGTCGCTGCACCATTTCGCCACTCTGTTGAGACTCGATCGATCTCTCCAGCAAAACCTCCTGCACCAGCAAAACTTCAGCCAACAGATTATAGGAGGATTAATCACCCCGCCCCCATGCTCCCGGCGTTCTGTGCCTCCCTCCTCCAAGTACAGTTAATCAAAGGACGTCCAGAGGCCCAAACCCCGCCTGCCTCTGTGACCTCACTTTGTGCTTAGGACACCACTCAGGTGTCACGTCCTGAGGGAACCTCTTCTGAGCCCCTCCGCCCCCAGCGTCTGCTCTGGGCCTGGGAGACCCCATCACCCCCGCCCCCACCCCACATAGCCCCATTGTGAGTCCGTGTAGCTGGCCTTGTCTGTTGACTTCTCTCCATCCCGGGGCGGGGGGGGGGGGGGGGGGGGGCCGGTTCAGGTGCCTGGGGTGGAGGGTGGAGGGGTGAGGCGGTGCGGGGCTCGGAGACCAGCCTCAGAGCTCCCCAGGCTCCTTAGACCCACTCAAGAACTTGCCAGTAAAATGAGGGACAATGTGCATATTGGAAAATTCAAGTCCAGGCAAGCTCCATTTCTTGAATCCCAAAGCGTTTATGTAAGAATTAAGGTTCCTGCGGAAGACGTGGAAAGCTTCATCTGCCTTCTCTGAGCCTTAGTTTCCTCAGCTGTTAAATGGGAGGCATGAGTCTCTTGCCCCTTGGGGTTAATACGAGCTGTTGTAAGTAAGGTTCAAGCATGAGGCTTGGCCTCTCTAAAAGCTGAACAAATATGAGCAAATGGTGTTACTGTTACTATCAAAATAAATGCAAATTGATGAATCTGATGGGGAAAACAGGAGCACCAGACGGGGAAGAAAGGAATCCTTTTATTTTGATGGATGAAATGCAGTAGGCTTCAATCAAGACTGCGATTTTAAGTGGGGGAGTGGGATAGGCATGAAAGAGCTAAAAAAGCAGTTCCCCCGGGGGAAATTTCTGCAGCTCAACCTCCACTGATGCTTATGTGGTATTTCACTCCGGGAAGGTACCAGCAGGGAGGGCGGGCAGCACCCTTGGCATTGCCCTATGGTGGCAGCATTCAACACATTTGACGTATGAGGAATCTGAAATCAGAAGGGGCCAGTCAGAAAGGGAAATGAAGTGCTGACCCACGAAACCACAGACAGGAGCCTGGAGGACATGAGGCTGAGGGAAAGAAGCCAGACATGAGAGGACCTAGATTGTAGGATTCCACCGTAGGACATGTCCAGAGGAGGCAAGTCGACAGAGGCAGAAAGCAAACTAGAGGTTGCTTAGGGCTGGAAGAGATGAGGAGAGTCGGTAGTGATAGCAAGAGGGGACAGAGTTTCTTTTTGAGGTGATAAAAATGTTCCAGAATGGACCGTGGTGATGGTTGCACATATCTCTGAATATACTAAAAACCATTGAATTCTACACTTTAAATGGGCGAATTGTATGGTATGTGAATTATATCTCAATAAAGCTGTTTAAAAAGAGGAAGACAACAAAAGCTTAGGCACCAGTCAGGGCCACACAGGCAGGAGGCTGCAGAGACATGACCAACCCAGGTCTCCACCTGCGGCCCTTTCCTCACTCGAGCCTGCTTCCCCCCATCTTCACGAACGACTCCCAGGCCTCAGCTCTTGAGAACGTCTATCCAAGGGCAGGGCCCACCTACCCATACCTCCCCCGACCAGAGCCCTGTTTTGAAAATGTGAGCCGATGATCCGTTTCCTAATCACATAAACAGTCTGAGGATGGTACCTTCTGGAAGCCCCCCACTTCCACCAGCCCCAGCTTATCTGATCTGGTGCAGACGACTATAAATAAACAGTCACAGACTGCCCTGTCTGGATGAGCCATTTTCTGAGATCATATGAACTTGCTTTTAAGTAGCAGCTTTTCACAGATCGGTTGCTATGAGGCACTTTATTAAAAACCACCCATTTGCAGCTAAAATCCAGCTCCAACCAAATCCAATTTTCATATCTACTGCTTTTTTAGACATAATGATCAGAACATCATTTCTGTTTCTATGGGGAAGAATGGATTCAAAGGGCTGTTTTTCTGTTTGTTCTCTCTTTCCTTACAGGCAGGTGGGCTATATGCATGTTCCAGGCTGCTGTTTGCCGTGGCCCTGGAGGACCTCACTGGAGAACAAATATTGATGCTTTGTTAGCGCACACAGACATTCTCGGCAATGCTGATTAGCGCTTGGGGCTGATCCGACCAAGGTCAGGGGCTTGTGCCCCCTCAAACTGCACCCATTAGCTTCTCTTAGAGGTAAAGTTTCTGCCTCAGCCCCTACCCCACCTCCCTCTGACTAACATATATTACTGACCATAGTGGAGATTGAATGGAATACATGGGTGGGAGGAAAAGGCGCTAGAGTGAAAACAAAGAACGTGCCTTTCCTGTAATGGGTCCTCAACACGACCTGTGCGTCATACAATCTTTTCAGAAGCCCGGAGACGACACGCCTGGCGGTGGGAGGGGGCTTTCCAGTCCACCAGCATGGACCCGAATGCTCAGGCCTCCCTGCCTCTAAGGCTTTCACCTTCCATGGCTTCAGAGGATCGCATGAGGTCAACACCAGCTAAGACGTGTGAAGCCCTTGACACAGAGCTCAGCAGAGACAGGATGCTCAGTCCATGGGAGCCATGATGATGATAATGATTATTAACATGTTCCCAAGGTGGCCTTCGTCTGCTAAGCGTCTTTTCAACTCTCTTTTTTCGTAAGTTGTCCTTTGGTTTAATCATTTGCAATGAAATAGATCAGGACTGATTTGAGTTGGAAGCTATCTCTCAGGCTTCCGTTTATCAAATCCTTCCTCCAATCCTTCTCCCCCTCTCCCGGATTTGAATACATATGCACTCATTTAATAAATATTTGCAGAGACCTACTGTGTGTCAAGCCCTTGCTGGGAAATTCAAATGAGCAGGAGCAGACCAAGCTGTAGGGCACACTTATCTCCTGGAGAAATTGGAAACAAACTGGGTCATAAATACGGTGATGAGATATATACCAGGTCCGCAGGAAGTGGGGCCTGTCTCTGCACTTGGGGGAGGGAGGGAAGGATCCACAGAAGTGGCCCCCAGAGCAGGGTTTTAAAATACAGAGAGGAGATGACATGGGAACCAAGGAGGGGAAAGATATGCTGCAGGAGGAATGTCCATCAGGAAGTCCAGCGAGTGGGTCTGGGGCTCAGAAGAGACGCAAGCACTGGCCTCAGAGATCTAGGGGCCACCGTGGGCTGCAAATCATGCGAGGGGCATGCTGGGAAGAGCCAGGCTGGAGGAAGGAGCATTAAGAAAATCAGGAGAGGTGCAGGCGAGGGGGTCTTCACGGCAGGAAGGTGAAGAGGTTTCCTTCCACAGGACGGACGACAACGGGGTTCTCCCGAAGGTGTTCTGCCATTCACAGACTCATTACTCGCTCCCTTTGCATTTTGAGAGGTGACTTGTGCAAGCCCTGACGTTTTCCTTTAGGGAGCCCTGATGGTCCTCTGTGCCCTCATTGTGCCCAACCAGCAGCACCGGGCGCCCTCACGATGGCCTTCACCCGAGCCAGGCTTCATTCAGAGAGCAGCCTCCAGACTTCATCATGGGGGGAGAAACAGCTCACTACTTAAAAAAATTAAAACAGTCAGTCATCAGGCTGAAATAAAACTCTCGCCTCCGCCAGCAACTTCAAAGTAGAGATTAAAGGCTGATCTTAAGACTTAAAGGCACCCAGCTGATGGCTTTGGGTGGGAGCCTGTTTCTGCAGAATTAATTCTAATGGCAATTCTAGAGACTGGTTATAATAATAGCACTCACCAGAGACACACTATGTACTAAGGTCTCTGGATGATAAAGTGGATGGAAATAGCTTATTTCCATCCCTAAATTCACTAACAGAGAGCAGTTAGCCAGGGCAAATCACGGCTAATGACGCTCGGTTGTCTGCGAATTCATTTCTGGACAGTACTGCCAGGAGCTAATGCATTTTTCAATGAAGAGGAGCGTCAAGAAATCTTGATGCTAGTGCGGACTGGTTAATCATTATATTTACATCGTCTCGGTGGGGTGAGGGGCCAGCTGGAATGTCCTCTGGGGTTAATGGACATTTTGGAAAATGTGAGAATGCAGCTTGGCAGGGCAAAGATACGTAAGCCATCTATTTCAACCCCAGGGGCCGAGGCGTTCTGCCTGTCGTCAGGACTGCTGAATTGCTGCTCGGTCATTTTGGAATTAAAAATGCATCTCCTCTCTGATTAGCAGAGTTCAGCTTCTTTTGTGAAACTTCTCAGACAGTTTTATTCCCTGGCTACCTCCACACTTCTTCTCAAATCTCTCCTCCAAGGAGAGGGGGTGTCAGGGCAGAATTGATTTGGCAGCTCAGCGTGAACGTGATTTATCGATAGCAGCGTGAGATCGTATACAAATTTGGCTTATCATTTTGATGTATTGGCCATACCTGATGATAAGGTGCGCACTACTATAAAAGTAAACTCACTGTGGCTCCTGAATGCCTTTTTTTTTTGGCTGCACAGCATTCCCGGGAATGATCGATAAGATGTTTCATTTAAGTACCAAGCAATCTAGAAACCGCGCAGGAGCACAGGCGCCAGGAAGCAGGAAAGCTTGAAATTAACAGGCGGCCATAGAAAGTGTAAGATTAATTTCATTTTCTTTTCTTATCTTATGCTCTCTTTTATGTCCTTCCCTACATAAAAGGGAGATTAATTAATCCAGGAACGATCTCTTTGTTGGCAATATTACATTATGTTTGACTACTTAATAGAAATCTGAACTAGAGCAAGGCACAATGCAAAGAGCGCATCCCGAAGGACAGAGGGAGAAGTCTTTTCTGAGCAGAGAAGGCAGATTCACAGCTGCTGTCAAAGGCCCGTGGCTGGGAGAGTGAAGCTAAGGCCACCAGGCATGCATTCATTCACGGATTCACCCACTCTGCAGACATTCCCTGACATCCACGGTGGAGCCGCCCTCCCTTCGCCCTTTGCTTAAGAAAACCTTTGGGCCACACCTGACCAAGTTTTTAGGGTGATTTGGAACCAATCTGAAATTCAGTTCCATTCAGTAAATATTTATTGAGCAGCAGCCATATGTTCAACACCATCCTGGCTGTGTGGGGAATATCAAAAGGGGTGAGCCATGGCGGCTGTCACTGAGGATCTCGCATCTAATTGGGGAGATGAGATATACACACAATACAAGGCAATTATGGAAATAGCACGTATTTAAATACCACTCTCCTGTTTACCCACATGCTCCTATCACTCTCTCATCCATTGTTGGAACCTCTCGACAACTCTGGGAGGGAGGCAGGGCAGATATGATGAGTCTCATTTTGCAAATGAGGGATTGGAGGCTCAGCGGGGTGGGGAGGATGGCCTCAAATCACCCAGCCATAAATGACAGCGGCAGGCTGCCAGCCAGGGTCCTCGACCATTCTGTGCTGTGTTTCAACTAATCAACTACACTGATTAAATGCCCAAAGAGGGGGCGCAGACGGCGTGCCGGAGGACCGCCGCCCCACCGCCCCTCAGCTGCCCTGGCGGGAGAAGCTGGCCTCACACGGGAGGAGAGCTCTCAGCCTGGTGCTGGGAGGGGATGCGTGACACTGATCTTGCCTTTGAATCCTGCCCCAGTTTTCCAGCAAGGACCCTGATGGTGACAGGGAACGGGGACCCCCTTCTTTGTAGCACCCCACTCCTGGAAGAATCCTGCCCAACCCAGTAGGAGGAGACTGGGCAGCAGGCAAACACAGGCCTTCTTGAAGACTGCCCCTGGGGCCAGGTGGCTGGTCCAAGAACGCTGGACATCGACAACTGGTGCTGATCACTTGCAGCCCCTGCTTTACCATGAGCGGCGAGCATCCATGGCAGGTTACTACGCCAACAAGGGCACAGATGATGCCTGAACCCAGGTCTCCCCAGAATCCGGCATGGGCACAGCAAGGGGGGCGCTCAGTAGGGACTTTCAGATGAGCACCTGAGCAAGGGAGCCTGGCCACCTTGCTCGTAGAAGGGCAGCTCACAGCCGCCCAGCCCGTCTTTGCTGGATCTCTCCTTCTGCTTCTCGTTCTGAGTTAGGACAGATGAAATCACTCCAACTCAGGCCCATGAACCACACGGATCGATGGTGAGGAATAAAGTTTGGATTTTTCAAAAACCTTCATAGCAGATGGCCCCAGGAGACCAATTGCAGGCTAAAATATGACAAGATTCCTAATTAAATGTAATTAAATAAGCATTAAGAGAGAGACTGATGCTCCTCTCCCCACAGTACAGCACTATGTGCCAAAGAATACAAAACTGAGCACGTCATTCTCTGGAAAAAACCGTAAAGATGATACAGCCCAACCCCCTAGTGACCCAGCTGGGGAAACTGAGAACAGAAGAGTTAGGAATTCAATAAGAATTTTTGGAGATGTGGGGCCAATGACAAAAAATGGATAGAAAAGTGGCCATTTTGGAGTCATGCTGTTAGCATCTAAAAGGTCCTGCCACTAGCATGCTTTGTGACCTTGGGCAAGTTACTTAACCTCTCTGTGCCTCTATTCTTCCTCTAGGCCAGCACCATCCAATAGAAATATAACTCGAGCCACATTTGTAATTTTTCATTTTCTAGTAGCCAGATTCTTAAACAGTAAAAACAAAAGTACAAAGCAAAAAGAATATAATTTAATAATACATTTTATGTAACCCAATGTGTCCAAAATGGTATCATTCCAGCATGTAATCAATATAGAAAATTATTGATTAAATAGTCACATTCTTTTTGTTTTTGGCCCTATGTCTGAAATCTGGTGTGTGTTTTACACTTACAGCTCCTCTCAACGTGGACCAGCTACACTTGAAGTGCTCAAGAGCCACACTCAGCTGGTCGCTACCTTACAGATGGCGCAGGTCCAGAAGATGGGCCTCAGAACTGAGTCTGACCTGTTGTGAGTTTTAAAATAAACAAGACGTGAAAAGCGCTTAGCAGCGCCCCTGAGTGTCCTTAGCACCCAGTAAATACGAGCTGCCATTATTATCAGAAAACCAATGTCCAAACAGCTCAATCAGAAAGGAGGACCACCATCCATGGCCCGAATTTACGACATTTTCTCGTTCAAATCCTTTCCACAGAAACGACCCTGCACACGGCTATTGGGGGGATTTCTTAAGTCTCTGGGTAAAGCTACGGAAAACAAATGGTGGCTCCAGGAGCTGGTCCTTAAAGCAATCGGTGAGTCCCAAGATTAAAATTCAACTGCAGCCAAATTCTGCTATAAACAGCTTCCCTCCACCTGGGGTCCGGGAGGCGGGCAGACGCAGTCCCCTCTCCTGGGCATCCACCCATGAAAGCCCCGCCTCACGGCATCACCCAAAGCTGTCAATTACCCGTCATGCCCGCCCGGCTCCCAGCTACAGCAGGCTTTTACAGTCCGTCTGTAAGGCGCTCTCAATTTGTGGCCGGACCTTCCTAAGGCTTGTTCTTACCCAGCAATCCAAATAAAAATAGTGCTATTGATCACAAAGGCATCAATAACGTCAGCCCTAAAGCTACTCGTGCACATTTTTAATTGTCCTGTCCCTTTTTATATCTTTAAATATCACCATAAGCTTCTAGGAGACAGGCTTCCTCTCCTTGGGAGGGAGGAAAGCGCTCTCCCCGCTCAGCTGAAAGCAGTCGGGATTGTACCTCACACTGTTAATGATGGCGAGGTCCCTTTTCGTGAAGAAGAAAATAAACCACCGGCTGACCCCACTTTGGGCCCGGTGTTAGAACGCAGAGGAAATGCTGTCCCATTACGCCTAATTTCTCATTGTTTTCCCGACTGGTTCACATCCCAGCAATTATGCTTCATTTGCTGGAACAGAGAACAGTAAAATGCCCAGCTGGTAGGCAATCCCCCCGTGATTAAAGCATGGGCCGATCAGAAAGCTGACGTCCAATAGATTAATCAAGAAATAAGGAAGGAATGCCTGTGTTTGATGCTTGTGAATCTGCACATGTGGATCTCCAGATGTTTCAACTTAATTTTTACCGCCATAAAAACTAAGAAAGAGAAAACGGGAGTGATGCCAACAGCCAGGCAAACGCCCCCAGCAAAGCGACCATTCGGCAGCCTCTGGAATCTTCTTCTCATGTCTGGTGGAAGGCAGGCTCCTCCCCAGAGCCGTAAGCAGGGCCTTCCTGGGGCCTCTCGAAGTGTGTGCAACGTGGAGAAAAATTATCGGCTCCGAAATTTGACAAGAAAGCAGCAAAATCAAAATTAATAAATGCTTCATTAAACGCCTGCCAAATACAGCAATGAGGCCTCCTCGGCGCTTGTTGGATGCAGTATTCACGATGCGGTCGTCATAAAAACTTCATTACATTTGAGAAAACAGCTACGAGAACTCCTAAGGATGCTATTGGTTGTGGGGGGAATCACAGGTAATTCCGACTTTGATGAATTACCCACCACCAGATAATTTAAGAAGCTGAATCATTAAACTCCTTTCAAATATTTTTACTGCAAATAAATTGTAGTTAAACTAAAGTGTGGGTGTGTTTTAATTTGTTTGAGACGATGGGAGCGAGGCCTCCAAATGGAAGACTGCCTGGAGCTTACCAAGGGCTTACAGGAGCTTAAGTCTGCATCCTCCAGATGCTACCCGTGGGCTGGGGGCCCTGCTCCCTCACACCTGAACAGCTCAGGTAGTGCAGGCCACCTGTAGGGACCGAGGGGCTCTCTCAATGAAGGCCATCTCCACCGGTCCAGTCTCCGTCATCTTTGACATTCTTGGGCTTCAAAGGCCAGTTTCTCCCACCCACACCCCTCCTGAAATCAGCTAACTACTTCTGCTGCCGTTCGCCGGCGTGCCCACGGCTGAGGGGATGAGGTGGTGATGACATGCTCACTTAGGTAGGGACATTTCTAAGCAGCGTGAGAGAGCTGAGTAACCACCTGCTTTGCAGGCACAATTCAAACGGGCACCTGGGAGGCAGGCCACAATGACTGGTTGACTTGTTGCCCAGGCAATGTGTGTGCCGGGCAAAAAGATGCTCCCTAAGTCAGAACGGCTCCACTCTCCACCATCCCACAGTCTTGCTCGCCCAGCCAGAGGGCCTGAGGCTTTTAATCTCCCCAGTCAACATGAAGGGATACCAAAGGGCAGCCTTGGAAGAGCTCAGGGGACTGCACAGCTCCATGAATTGCCACCAGAGCAATTTTGCTCCCCAGAGCCATTTGGCCAAGTGTGGGGACATTTTGGGTTGTCACAACTAGGCGAGAAGGGGCTGCCACCGGCACCTAGTGAGATGCTGTTATACCTCCTACAAGGCATAGGATGACTCCACAATACGAAAGCCCTAGTCCCAGATGTCAGGAGCACCGCGGTGGAGAAACCCTGCCCTGGAAACCTGGAAACCGAAGCAGCCTGCCCCTCGCAGGGGCTTTCTTGTGGACTATTTACAACTAGGAGGGCAGGAAAACTCAAGCTGAGGGACCTCACAAATCCACGGCAGACAGTGTACCCAGGTCTCCAGGCCGGAGGAGAAACTGTGTGGGGTCTCATGGGCTGCAGAAAATCCACTGTTTTGGCAGCTCTTGCAACTGGACATATTTTTGATGGAGTCAAATGAGGTTGTGAATCACCAGCTTTCAAGAAGAAAGAGCTCTCCATTTCTGAGTCATAAATTAAGGACCAGGCCTCTTGGCGTCCTCAAACCTCCCCCAGCGTGCTCACGCCGTTTCTTCTGTGTGAGCAACATTCTTTTCTTTCACGTAGATTTCCCTTTTCAGGAGAGTTCCTTCTGTCTGGGGCCAGTTTTAGATTATTCTTTCAAATAAAATAACTGCAGAAGAGATTAATCATAGCCTGAAATTGAAAGGGAGGAAGCCACATCCCATTGTGACCTTCTAAGTTCCATTGTGACTGCCTGCCCAGCCTCAGATGAAGTCTGGCTCTGGGAGGGTGGTAATTTTTGCAAAGTGGTCCTCAGTTCTGAATTCCACTCACTGTGGTCACTATGACAGCTTCTTGGATTTGCGAATTAAGCGGCGACCTCATAACTATTAGTTTGGAGCCTGACAATGAAAATAGTGGTAATAAATACTGCTCATCAGCAACTTTGCTATCAGATATAATTTGGGGACTGTTGGTGGAATTGCCTTCTGCTGGCAAAGGCAGAGATTAGCACTCTGAAAAGCAGTGACTAATTCCTGTGTTACTGTGAGCCAGGTAGATATTAACTCTATTTTCCAGGAGATGAAACTAACACAGAAAGGTTAGGTGAGGCTTGCCCCGCTCCACAGGGAACCGGTCCTGGGGTGGAAATTAGAGCCCCAATGTGGTGGGCATCAACAAGAGGTAAAACGTTCATCCACATGATAGATTACAGTTGGAAACCCTGCATCCGTGTTCAGGCATGAAAGCACAACACAACCACAGATTGGAATGAAAGTAGGATGGAAAAGAGAACAGAAGGAACTGCTCCGGAGAAAGGGTGGGAGTGGGCAGGGGCCTTATTCCCAGCAGAACATGAAAACCATCAGCCTTACAGCGAGAATCTCCCCACACTACACTCTAGCTTCTTCCCTAATTCCAAACCTCTTCCTTGTCCGTGTGAGAACCCAGGAGGATCTCTGGAAGCGAAGCCCAGTCAGCTAATTCCAGGGCGCCCGGCTCAGCTGAGAGATGCATGGGAAACCCAAGACTCATGACTACTAACCGTGAGGCACAGAATTCTGAAAAATGACCCCTTGCTTGCTTTCATAACTTTTCAGGAAATGCTGCACAATTATCCTTTCTCTCCTCTCGCTTAAAAGTTGAACTGAAATTAATTTTTTTTAAACTAGTTGGTTATAAAAGAAAACCATAATGCCTTGCCCCTGGGTAATTCCTTCTTGATTAAAGTTGGGGGCTGTTGATAAAATTGATGCCCACTGAGCTCGAGGCAGAGGAAGACCTGTGTCTGATGCTCATTTATGACTGGATGGGTTTTCCAGGCAGGGAATGAACATTTTGAGTGAGTTTTCTTGTAAGAAAGTGGACACAGCAAACAGAAGTGGGATAGCTGGCAGTCGGTGGGCACGGGTAGGGGCAGGAAAAGGCACAGGACAGCCAGTGGGGTTTTCCCGCTGGGAAGTAATTCACCCTTTTGCTAGTAATAGCTCCACAATTTTACTTTGAAGGCTCTCAGTCTGAGAGGTTCACGGGAGGTGGCCCTGCAGCTACGCCCCGCCACCCCAACCCCTGCCTCCAGGGAAGGACACACAACCCAGCCTGGTCATTCACTCTCAAATAATTTCCTGCCCTAACTATCGGGAAGGAGGTGCTTTCGTCCTGAGGGGTTGCAAAATTGCCAGGCTACAAGCCTGGTACCGCTGAAAATCATTGTTGATACCAAAAGGGAGAGTCTTCTGAAAATAGAGCCACACTAGAGGAATCCAAGACCTGAAAACAAGCCAGGGCCACCGCTACAGCTAGGCAGGTTGTACACTGCACAAGGTCTTCCAGCTGAAGGAGCAAGTGGGGAGTGAAAGCTAGCCCATACTCTGCTCAACAGCCACACAGCTGGAGGGGCCCCTCTTTCCAATGCACTCAGAGATATGAGGTGCTCACCAAGGCGGGTGTGTGCAGGGCTCTGTCTCCTCAGAGGGGACGCTTTCTTCAAATTCGTACAAAAACACCATATGGGCTAGTGTTGGCATGAATACAACTAGATTTGAAGCCATTCTGACCCTCAGCTCCCTAGTTAAACAAGCCAATATATTGTTGATTGACGGCTCAAGGCAGCTGGAGAGGGTATTGATCACAGCAGCCGAGGAGGGGAGACAGGAATGCGTAAGGAGGACCAGGACCACCTTCACAATTAAAAGGAGGGAGGGGGCAGGAGGTTTTCTCTGAAGGGGAGCCAACCACTGACGAGACCAACCAGCTAAAGGGGGCCTCTCTCAACAAAGACCAGAAATGCTGTCAAAAGGGCATCCAGAGAAGCTGGGCTTTTACAAACGTACCCTGTTTTACAGCTTTGGCTTTAAAAGTACAAAATTGTTTACATAAATATAAAACAAAGGAAAATTTAAATTAAAAAAAAAACAATTTAAGTGAAAATAATTGCACACAAAGAGGAAATACCTGAACACGCTCATCAAGTTGGTGGTTTAAGAGCAGGCACAACGAACCCCGGCCTGCAGGTGGGCCAGGCCCAGCTTGCTGCCTGCTTTTGCAAATAAAGTTTTATTGGGATACAACCAAGCCCACTCACTTACATTTTATTTATGTAGCTGCCTTTGTGCTACAAGTAGACATGAGTAGTTGCAACAGAGACCGTAAGGCCTGCAGAGCTGAAAACAGATGCTCTATGGATGGATTTCCTGGGGGGGCCAAAAAGAGCCACAAAGAAACCTTACAGGGCTGGCCCAGTGGCACAGCGGTTAAGTTCACACACTCCGCTTCAGCATCCCACCTACAAAATGGAGGAAGATTAGCACAGATGTTGGCTCAGGGACAATCTTCCTCACTTCCCACCCCTCCACCCCACAAAAAAAGAAATCTTAAATTGTTTTTGGGAATAATAACATTTTAAAAAATATTATTGGGCCGGCCTGGTGGCGCAGCGGTTAAGTTCGCACGTTCCGCTTCTTGGCGGCCCAGGGTTCGCCGGTTCGGATCCCGGGTGCAGACATGGCACGGCTTGGCACGCCATGCTGTGGTAGGCGTCCCACATATAAAGTAGAGGAAGATGGGCACGATGTTAGCTCAGGGCCAGGCTTCCTCAGCAAAAAGAGGAGGACTGGCAGTAGTTAGCTCAGGGCTAATCTTCCTCAAAAAAAAATAAAAATAAAAAATAAATAAATAAAATAAAAAATATTATTGGTATTGTTATTTTGAAACACACATGCACATATATGCACATATATATAAAGCCAATAAGCAATTATCTTAATTACTGTCAGCCTAAGAGAATAATAGAAATATAAAATCAAAGTAATCAGAGAAAAACCCTGTCATCTTAAATGTGAAAGGAAAATGTTAGTATGAACATATGAGGTCTTTTTCTCTGATCGCTTTCCCAGCTCTGTCCACTGAAATAGCCTGGGAACAATGATTAGTCTGGTAGCACTGAGCACCCACACTGCCCAGATTGTGGTCTCTAAATACCAGCTCCCACTACAAAGAACCAGGGCTCCTTGGAGAAATGTCTGGTTCCAAGTTTAGAACAAGAAATGTACCACAGGGGCCTGGAACATCTGGTCACCCCAGAAAGCAAGGGAGCCATCCAAGACTCCTGAAGCGGGGACAGGGTATCAAAAGGGCACAGAAAGCAACTTGAAGAGGCTCCCACTGGCTGGGGATGGGACAATTTAAACATCAAGAAGGAGAATCACTGTAATTAATGAAAACATATCAAATATGGGAAAATCCATGTGCTCACAATGGTTCCTGAATTCAAAACAAAACTCATTGGCACCTTTGGCGGTTGCTGTGGACCTAACTTATCATTCTGAAAACCGGTAAATAAAGAGAAAGACTCAAGTATTTATCTCGCCTTTCCTGTACCAACTATACTTCAGGGTAACCAAACAGTTAATGAGGAGATATTTTTTATAGAAGAATTCCAACTAATAAATGCAGAAAGACTAATGCAATCTGAATATCACCATTTTGCAACCTCCAGTGACATAATGGGTCTAGATAAGGATCATCATTGGCTGATGAAACCATTCATTGTGTGAGAGGCTAACGGAGCACTTGTTAATGGATGGATCAAGACAACAGCAACCGAAGCCCCTGATCAATCTTAATGTCACCGAAAGACAGAAAAGCAGACACACCCTGCACCTCATGATGCAACACGGTGGCAAGCACACAATATCACTTCTGAAGCATTCCTGTCGAAAAGTCTAAAGTGAAGCTCTTCAAGCTTCTAGACCTGAGAGCTAACTACCAGTCTGCAGAAAGCAGGGGATGAGGAACATGGTAAAAGACCACCAGGTGTACCCAGCCAGCAAAACCCAGACTACGGCAATTCCCAGAGGACAAATGACTTGGTTCCCAACAGAAAAATAGCAAGAAAATGAAAAAGAGGAGGGAGATTTATTAAAGGTTTTCAAAAACAAATCAACCAGATGCAATGTGTGGACCTTGTTCGGATCTTACTTGGAGCAAAGCACTGTGAAAAGACATTTGCGAGGCAGCCAACGGGATTGGAACAGTGACTAGATATTACACGACGTTAAGAAATCATTGTTCGTTTTTGAGGTACAACTACGATATTACATTACTTTCATGAAGTCCTTATCTTTTAGAGATACATAGTGAATTGTTCATGAATGAAATGACATTATGTGTTAGATTTACTCTAAAATAATTGGTGGAGAGGGAATGTGGGAGTTTGATAAAACAAGATTGGCATGCTGCTAACGGTTGAAGCTGGGTAATGGTTCGTGAGGGTTCACTGGCCTGCAGTAGTCTCCCTATTTTTGTATAGATCCAAAGCTTCTGCAGTGAGTAAAGAAAAAAGGCATCTAAGGATAGCAGAATGAAGGATCCAGAACCTACCCCACTGTACCTCAGTGACTGACTGGTACAGACGCCAAACTGCCTACAGAAGGGACTGAAAACTCAACTCCACGGGGCAGGTAACAGAGGCAGAGGGAGAACAATCCACAGTTCAGACAGGGTCCTGCCCCTGTGGAATTCACAGTCTGGTCAACAATCCCATAGTCACGAACACACAACTATACACTGAGTTGTGTTTTGGAAGGTAAAGCAGAAGATCAGAGCACACAGTAGAATGGCCAGACCTAGTTTGGGGGTCAGGCAGGTGTCATGAGCCATTGATGCTGCTCTCCAAAAATTCCAGTTCTCTCCCCTTCTGAACACAAGGCAGGATTGAACTTCCTGGCCGCCATGTGGTTGGTGTGGCCATGTGACTAATCCTGGCCAAAGAAATGAGTGGAAGGGACATGAGTGTCATTTCTGGGCTGAGCACTTAATTTCTGGTGTGAGGCCTGCCAGAGCCCACTTTTCCCTCTGCCACGCTGCCTGGTGATGTTCCGGGTCATGCCCGATGACCAGGCCCTGGAGCAAGGATGCAAAAATATGAGCGCAGAGCCCCCAAACAACCCACAGAGGGCATGAGCTCTGGGTGGGAAATAAATCCTCATTGTTTTCAGCCACTGAGAGTTTGAGGTTGTTTCTTACTGCAGCTTAACTGAGCCCTGCTGACTGACACAGAGGGCTTCCCCAAGGACCCCACTCAGCTGTCATTACTTTATACAAGACGGGTGAAACCCAGGCAGGCTGACTCCAGAGTCTGTGCTCTTAGCCTCTGAGTTATTCTGCCTCTTGTGGGATTCTGGGGCAGAATATTCAAGAGACTCCAGTGTGGCTGAACGAGAGAAGCCAGAGGATGCCCACAGGGAGGCTGCAGAAGAAAGCAGGCCAGAACACCAAGGCCTTTCTAGACGCTGACACAAAGAAGGAGGGGC